CTGGCTGGGGAATTCTGGGAGTTGAAGTCCACACATCTTAAAGTTGCCGAGGTTGAGAAACAGTGCTCTAAACCATAATGTGGTTTGGTTTGGTCTCAGTTCAACCCTTCAAAGGGAGTTGGTGAACTAACCATGATTTCTGGTTGCTTACTGACTGCAACTGTGGCTTACCAAATCCAAGGATTTCCTACCTGCTCTGCTTTTAACTTCCCTGCTTCACTTCAAATTTGGCCGAGGAGGGAAGAGTTTAGTCACGGAAAGGATCCCTGATCAACTTTGGCAATCTGGTTTACTGGGGATCACCCCTTAGCAGCGTTGGGATCACAGAGCATCAAAACATTGCACAGGGTTAGGACTTTGGTGTAGACCCTCCTTGTGGGGAAACTGTGGTTTTGACTCAAACAGGGTGGTGGGTTCAAGATCCAAGTTGGTTCCAACTGCAGTTCGGAAGCACGGGTTGAAAGACCCTAGGACTGATCTCCCCTTTGTTCACAGGCTGAAGGCTATGCAGGAGGCCGAGGAAGCCAGGAAATTAGAAGAGGCTGCAGCTGAGAAAGCAGCCTTAGAAGTAGAGGAGAGTTTGTGTCGTGAAGCGGAGGAAAGCCTGAGCCAGCTCCAGTCTCCTCCCAAAGAAGAATCTCCGGCTTCGCTTTCCATCCCGCCCAGTGGCAAGGCAGCCGTAGCAGGGAAGAAGAAGAGGAAGTGATAAGAGGAGTTGCGCGGCCACGATCGACTGGCACCGAATCTCAGCGCTGCGATACAGAGGGTTGGGAGCAGCCTCGAGGGTGAATGTACTTGTCTTATGCAGATTAAAGGGGGAAAAAGCATGAAGCCTTTCAGAAGTTTTCAGATATTTCAAAGCACAGGCAAGCACAGGCAAGGTTCAGTGAGCCTCAGGTGGGAAGGTTACAACCCATTTTTCAGTGGTTGGAAAATAAGTTCCAGTAGCGCTTTAACAGAAAAGCCCATATGAAAACTCTCCCAGGTTTGTGCAAATGTTCTGTACAACTGAAGAAAATGTAGACAAAGGAAATAAATAGGGGTTCCACATTTATTTTCAAGGAGTACATATAATCTTCCAGCCCATCTGGCCTCACAGGGTTCTTGGGAAAAGCATGTACATCATGTTGAGCTCCCAGATGTCAATCTAGTAATAACAGTAAGAAAAAACTTGTTTCCCCAATTTGCCTTATGAGATTTGTTTCAAATCTTGCTGCGGGCTTGGATGTACAAAATTAGAAATGATCAAGCATGTGGAAGGCCTTTCACTTGTTGGTGCAATTCAGGATAAAGTTATTTTCACAGCCCGGCTGCAGCACTTAATCAAAAAGTTTTAAAATGGAAACTCCATTGCTACCCCATAAATGAGACAGCTGGATTTGAAAAGACAACTTATAAAAGTTGCAGATAGCCAGGGCCATCTAAGAGATAAAATATTTCTTCTAAGAGAAGAGTGGGCTTCATGTTTGCATCTTCTAAAAACAATTACCTTTTTCTTTACAGTGGCAGTTCTGCTATTGTACATAATTAATCAATGTTTTCTGCATGGATTAACTAATGCTGAGAATAATTCTAACACTACTTACAGTAGTTCCATCACTTTTTCTGCAGTTATCCTTTGTGGTCTTGATTTCTACTCTGGAATGTCCTTATTGGAGTTTATTTCACTTTCCCTAAAGAAGACAAATTATTTCTAGGACATCAAAACATCACAACGCTATCCCTCAAGATCAGAATGCTACCTATAAAATGTGTTTATTTTATTCCGAAGAACAGAAAGAGGAAGAAAGTTGATTAAAATGGTAACAATTAAATTTTATTATTCCAGTAAAATAGTTACACAACGCCGAACAGAGACAAGGAATGACACATATTTAATTTGGACCAATTTTAATCAATTTGCACATAAATACTTTAAAATCTAAAAAACGATACGATCGGAGAGGATATGGTTTTCGTAGAAAGTCAATTCGTACAAAGCAAGTATTGCTTTACTATTGTCATTTTGCCAGTCAGTAACATGACTCAATAACTGGTCCCTGTAAACAGATTATGCCTTCTGGAAGTCTTAAAGCCATATTTGATGAGTGAGACCCTTGGCTGATCAATCCAAGAAGAAAATGTTGTTGAACTGGGTTGCACAAAGTTTCTTTACTTCTTCTGAGGGGGAGAAAGAATGAGTTTTAAGGCTTAAAAGAATGAAGTACTCAGTGTTGACAAGTTGCCAACAGTAGGACATAAACATATCTTTAGCAGATTTCCTGAAAGCTGCCTGATAAATTATTTCTGTGGTTCCAAATCATTTTTTAATTTTGCTCGTTAATTTATTTTTGAGGGGCAGCCTAAAAAAGCCCAGGAACTATACCTATTGTCATTGCCACCCCAAAAAACTGAATGAGAATACCATTCCTTCTAGCATAAGTGCCTTCTTACAGAGTGTGCAAACTCTGTTCAACAGCCTTGGGTGAACCAGTGTTTCTCAATCTTGGCAACATTAAGATGTTGGGACTTCATCTCCCAGAATTCCCCAGCCAGCTGGGAATTGAAATCCACATGTCTTAAAGTTGCCATGGTTGAGAACTGGTTTAGGCAACCACAAAACTTTGTGCTAACTCAGAAAAGCTCAGCTTAATATAAAAAAGATGATCAGTGAATGCCGGTTAATGAGGTCTGCTAAAAATCTTTGGCACAACCTCTTTGTAATCTACCTCCTTGACTGAGATTTACTACAATTCCCAGAATCCCAAGCTAGGAGGGGTATCATAGCCTCCACACATCTGGTGGATGTAACATCAGGGAAGAGCTGCTCTAGGGATACCAGATCTTAAGAGCTCGTAACTGAAACAAATGCAAATTCTAGGCCTGCCTAACTTATCTGCCTTTCCTTCTGTTTCTCCTGCATCGAAGCTTTGATAAACCTCCTCATTGCTCTTTTCTTGTACTTCATAACCATGGTTCTATCTGGAAAATGACACTGAATGAGCAGGTGACTAATATTTTCCCCAGTCATATTAAAGGCCTACATTTTTAAGAGTTCCTTACCGTTCACTTCAATCAAGTTTGCATTTTTCTGATTCAAAATAACATACAGTTCCCGCTGATCAGACTTCTTGCCGACAATCCAGTAGTCGCTCATGGCCTTCACAATGATTTCTTCGTCATCGTCAACCCTTTAAAAAAGAAGATCAGATTTTCAGATGTATGGAAAGCTCAATTAGAAATAAACTCGGGGAAAAAAGGACATTAAAATAGTCAGCAAGTTCAGTTCATGATTAAACAAAAACATCCACAGCATTTTCTTGGCAACTATAAATGAAGACAGCAGTTTTCAACATTTCGGGCACCCTCACAAAATAATTGTCGCAATGGAGCATGAAACGCCCATATGCAAGAAGAACTAACCAAAAACACACCCCTTTTATTTTCTAGATAAGACTCCGAGACGTACTTGATGCCCACTGGCACTGTCGGAAATGCCGATTAAATTGTAAAAGACACAAAAGATAGTCATGTACAAACAGGATATTTTTAACAGGACAAAAAAGAAATATCATTCACCCTGCATCTGAAGTGACAAGGAGAGTGATAAATAATGGAGATGGAAGAGGGTAAATCACCTAGTAAAATCATTGTTGATATCGCCAAGAATCTTCATCAAGTCAGGGTGGACTGATGTGAGTGAGAAACTTGAAGTTCTCTTCATATGGATGGTACTTTTCTCTGCCAAATTCATATGATTGAAGTAGATAAATTTAAACTGAGGGTCCTTCTCTGATCTAAGAAAGAGGCAAAGGGAGAGATCAAATGAGACACTGCAGCTCTTTTTGTAAACAGGATAAAGATGCATTTCAGGTATTTCAGAAAGGGTTTTCCTTAGGGTAAGAAAGAGCCAGCTGTTCTGATACTCTGCACTTGTTCCTGCCAGCTACTGAACCACCAGAATCTGTCGAGTTTAGGAATAAACTCACTGTCTGGTTTGTTTGGGGGAAGTAGGATGTGTGAATCCTGCTACTTCTCACATAGTCACATAGTCAACAAACTGTTTTAAAAATTCATGGCTTAGGACACAGTGCGAATATATTTAGCATGTTAACATTTACAAGCAAACTCCCGCTAAAATCAGGAGCTGGTTAGTCTGATAGCTATAAAACATTACAGATGTTTTTCTCTGACAAACAGGCTGGGTCTAATGTTATGATCCACAGCTCTAAATTTTTTTCTGTAGTTGGAATTCTGTAGGTTATGCTTCCCTCACAATAAATATGACACAGAACTTTAAGGTCCAACTTAGCTTCCATTGTATCGTCAGCTCCATTCTTACCAAAAGAAGTTGTATAGTATCAAGTTCCCAATATACTGCCACATTAAATTGTTAAGGCAGATTTAATCAGAAAAGCTCTCATGGCTTTAATCTTCAGGCACCATTAATGGGTCACTTCAGTTATGGGCACAAATGCCTTGTCTCAGAACAGCCATGCTGAAAATTGACTTGTTCACTACCTGATCATCCCTAAGGTGATGATTCAAGAATTTAATCATGGACGTTACAATCTGGAAAAAAGTGCTGAGAGGTCTCTGGGCACCATGCCTGAAGTTTGGGGAGCACATACAACCTGAAGCTCTTGAGTTAGACACTTCCCTTTGAAGATTTGTTTGCATTTGTGTATTTGCAATTAACACAGGGGGTTCCCTTCAGTGGACTATATTTTTATACATTCACGTACACAGAGCTCTTAATTATCTCAGATTATCCAAGAAAAGATTACAAGTGAGGGAAGCCTCCTTTGTTTTAGTATGAGAACACGCAAATGATTTATGACTTCTTCCACCCCTCCCCCGTTTTCCTCATCTCTTTAGAAACAACAAGGGCCAACTCTTCTCCTAAAACTCAGAATTATCCTCTTTAACCCCGAGGATGAGAATCAGGTCAAAAGGGATTCAGGCCCTGAGACAATTTTGGAGTTGGCAGGAGAATGTTCCTGCTGCGTTGCTAGAACCTCACTAGCTTTTCAACCAACTTCAGGAAGCTAGGAGTTCCAGCTCTTTCCAGCTGTTGGCAGTGAAAGCCTAGCTTTCTACCATCACTGTTCAACATCTGGCTAGGAGAAAAGGCTAGACTTCTACTTTTACTGCCCCTCGGCCTGCGCCATAACTCATCACTGGATGCATGCATCTCACCCAACTCTATTTTATGATCTTGGAGCAGGAGAGGAGAACTGTGATACCATACAGTACACAGTGAGGTGGAGGGCTATTCTTTGCTTCTCCAAGAAATATACTGTTGCGACCTCACAGGACTATGCATACATCTGCAGTCTGGCTCCCTCCCAGAGTTCCTGGTTTGTTTATTTATCAACCTGGGATGGGAATGAAGCCAAGCACGCAATCTATAATCCATGCTGGTCTCAACAAGGTTGCTCTCCATGTCAACTTCAGTCAAAACCTGCAAACAATCCCCACTGTGGAAATCAACGGTTTATCTGTCCTTCACTGGGGTGGAGAACAGAGCGGGATTACTACTTGTTATTCAGGACAATATGGGGGAGGATTGAAAAGAGGGAGAGAGCCCTTCCATTAATGCTTATCTTGAACCACCCTCTGCTTTGCCAACTGAAACTTAGTGTGTAGTGAAAAACATCCCTGACGTTTCTAAATACTAGTTTCTCGTTAAGAAGGTGCCGTCTCCCAAAAAACTGAAAAAGGAAGAAAACAAAAAGAGAGCCAACCCTGACATCCTTTTCTTGAGGTTGTACTGTTCGCATATATCCGAAGCTAGTACGGTAAGCTGAGGCCCAACAAGGCTATCGAGTCTGCGGCAGAAATCCAACGTAGGCTGCACAGAGGCTGTGAAAGAGTTGGGGGAAAAAGAATGGTGAGGCTTCTGCCACCCTGAACACGGAAGGCAGATCAAAATGGCTTTGAGGAAAGGTCGAGGCCTTACAATGATATACGCATAAGGCAGTGGCGCAAGTCACAGACACACGGTGCACTGGTTTCAATCAATGCCAAGGTGCCTTGGCAGATCATGTGATGAAGGTTGTACTGAAGGGCACTAACGAGATCTGGGTTTTGTTTGATTTGTTCAGGGGTGGAATTTTTTCCCCAAAACCTTTGTTATGTTTATTTTAGGATTTATGCTACGGTGTCTATGTTCCTGAGTTCAAAGAAATAGGAAACGGCACAGTGGTTTTGTCAGTCACAGTCCCAGGACCACAGGCTGCCCCAGTTTAGACAAATCTTCACTTCATTACTGAGATTTTATTCTTTGATGACTCACTGGCACACTATGGCTCTCAGAGAAGACAAAAATGGTATCCTCTTCTCTTTCAGGAAGTAGTTCAAACAGCTCTTTCATTACAAGATTCTGGAAATCTTACAGACAGAGAACATGCTATCACAGCTAATACCCAAACAACCATGGAGAATGTTCAAATGACGGGATTTAGGGAACAGAGACAGGAACAGTTATTTCAATGATTATTATTTGATACTCACCATCAATCATAAAACAGACAGCTGCACTCATCGCCTGGAAGAGACAAAACATTGATCATACCGGCAATTTTCTAGCTATCCCGTTAATATCAAGTTGCGTCCAGCTCTATTGCTTAAGAATGTTGGCGCAAGCTGGCATAAAAAAGACCTCTGGTTTGAGGATGCTCCCCTGGGATGAAAGGATAACTTAGATTGTGGATGGGGTAGTTCTGGTGCTCCCCAAAATTGGGCTCCAGCTACTATCAAACCCAGCTAGCATGGTCATTGGGTGAAGACGATTGGAGTTGTAAACCAACAAGCATAGGCTTATCACCTCAGGTTCACTATAACCCCCAGAACAGTGTTTCTCAACCATGGCCACTTGAAGATGTGTGGACTTCAACTCCCAGAATTCCCCAGCCAGCCATGCTCCAGAAGAATTCATCATCTAAGCTGTTGCTACTTAGCTCTGACTAGCAATGGATCTAAAACATAAATTTTCAACTCTTCTTCCTAGGATCCAGCACCTTGTTTTCATTAAACAACAATTTTTTGCTCAATCTGAGATCTGCCATTACAAACTATATGGTTTACCACTAACGCTTTTCCTATGTGATCTGGAAGGACAATGACATAATCTAGAGTTCCTTGGAGGAGACAGATTCACTCCATCTTGCAACTTCAGGAACATTAACGGAACAGACAACAGAAGTCATTTTTTTGAAGCCACTACTAGTTCAACCATATCTTTAAAGTTAGGAGTTCGTAAACTCTGGTCCTGGCAACCAGCTTGTCTTCTACAATATAAGGTAGTTGAGAGAGTTGGCTGTCCTTAGGTAGGTGTTGTCAACCTGGGGCATGGGTAGATTTTCCAGAATGCTGCTGGAAAGAGAGAAAAACCTGATGCCCAATGTACATGTGCTCACTAAAAAGTAGTTCTAACTTCAGCGGAATTCACTTCAAAATAAGCTAAGCACAGGACTGACGCCTCACCAAGACGCACCAGGTAGTTATCAGCTGAAGCAATTTCTGGCTTCTTCCACACTGCTCTAGGGCACAACCCCTTTCCATCCAAGAATATTATGAATGCTCTGGAGTATCACTTCATCTTATGGTGAAGGGGGAAAAATTAAACAGGTTACCTTATACACAATTAAATGAAGCTCTTCATAAGCATCCTCTGTGTTAACAAATATTTTGGGGAACCTGCATTTTGCTTCTGGGTCATTCAGATTCAGAGGTCCAGTGAGGAACCTAAAAAACAAAGACAGGATCTTTCCGCATTCAACTATTAGACCTCAGCCCAAATCTTAAAAGAAACCAGTTTTATAACCCAACAAATCTATCTTCATTTTATAGACCTGGTACCCAACTCAATTACTTCTCTGTTTCTTTGCTTTTAATATACAGGAATCTTTGATAAATATTAGCAGATTAAGCAAATCAGACCCTGATGAGAACCAAAATGATCCACTGCTAGGCTGCAATGGACAATCTTCAGTAACTGGCTGCCATTTAGCATTGGGTGGGGAATCAATCATGGGCAAAGTGGGAGAGGCTGTATCTATGGGGAGAGGCCAGGATTTTCAGTTTTCTTCTGTTTGGGGAGGGCCTTGTTGTTGTTCATTTAACTATGTTAAGCTTTCTTAGCCTTGTATTAGTTTTTGTGCTATTTAAAAATGGCAGAAACCAATGTTGCCGATTTTCAGCAGTTGCTGCTGGGGTTGTGGGAAGGGGTACAAAACAGGACTGTGGGGTCTCAGACTGAACGCTCTATAGGGCATGAAAAGAAACAAGAGATAAGGAACAGCTACCTTCCATAGTGCTGTAGATTTCCAGATATTTCTACATGTATGGGGGAATCTCTTCCTGCCAACTGAAACAGAAGAAATAGTCAAGGAAAGCTTTGATTTCTTTTAGCAGATGAAACCTGTGCATGAAATTGTTTCCCTTTCAACCAGAGAAACCACATGTTCCAGTGGAAGGCAGGGCACCCAACTCACCTCAGGTTCCATATGTCTTGGAAACAGTGATGTGGTGAGGTACTTGTACAAAATTCTCATGTCTTCTTGTTCTAATCCACTCCTGGAAGGTTAAAAAGGCTACCTTAAAGTATCCTTAATGTTTCAGCTTGTCAACTCTTTCAAGCAATTAAAGGTTTTCCATGAATCTGTCTAGGCCTGCTGGGTCAGACAACTGGTTTTGGACTTAATGCTCTCTTCTTTAACTGACCGCAGCTGCTCAAGATCTCAGAAGGAGAAGTTTTCCCATGTTTGCTTGGCTTCAGCTTGCATGTTCTACAAATAAGTTCCAATATGTATTGCCTTTGGCACAGTAGTGTTAACCACTCTGAGTGAAGCACCAAGAAGTGAAAAGAAGGATCCCCCAACACTTGTCAAAATCTCACCATCTGCACTTCTTGGTTCTGTGCTAGCTAGACGGAGCCATCCTTTCCACGTGACCTAGAGGCACGCCAACAAGCGACCAATTTCCAAGGAAGGGCTTGAGAAGGGCCCCATATAAGGAAAGGGCCCTAAATTATACGCTCCTGCTACATTTAGCAACTGGTCTTAATGGGCAAAGCTGAAGTAAAACAAATGCCTCAAATCTGAAGTCAATGTTTTATATTAAAGCTGGAGGAGCCTCTTCGAATCCCCTTCTAATTGGTACTTATTTTACATAGCGCTCTGTAGACTGCTTTTTATCTAAGCCTTTTCTCTCGGCTCCTTAATCACTTCTGAATAGGAAGCCCTCGAGATGCTCCTCTGAAAATGAAACGGGAGGCGCAGGACAGCTGTGCCGTGTCAATAAACACCCTGAAAGCAAACACAGCTGAAGAAAAGTCCCCCGGTTTCAATTACATTGATGGCCGCAAACTGCCGGCACTCCTTCGTTTCTGTTTAAAATGCAACATTTTTTCAGCATGAGGTCGAAAGAGCGTGTTGAAAATGGGCTACCGTTCAAGGTTTTGCACGTGCTTTCTTTCTTTCAACACTGAAGATGTTCTTCAACATTTGAAAGGACTAAGATTCTGGGAGGCTGAGAATAGGATAAAGAAATATATATTTCTTCCTTTTTTCCTTGCACCAAGTTGCCACAATGACGCCCTCATGTCAGAAACAATTGCTGCTATTCAGCTAATCCCATGTTCAAAAACTGCTTGGTTCCTTTGTTACCAACCTTTTTGAGGAAATGTTAGATTTAATGCTTTTTAGCTGGGAATAAAGGCAAGCTTTTTTTGTGAGTTATACCTGACAGCTGTCTTAAGTTGTGAAGAGCATGGCAAAAATGAACAGAGAAATTTTGCTCTCCCTTTGTCATACCACAGGAACCCTGCAGTCACATAACGAAGCTGAATCGTGGACAGTTCCAGACTGACACAAAAGGAAGGACTTCTTCACATGGGGTAGGCTGAACAATAGAATTGGCTGCACAATCTCGAATATGCACAGATATACCGATTAAATGTCAGCCCTCCACACTGGCCCTTACTGCTGCTCCTCCACCACTCTCATTTCATTCCCCCCAGATAAACATCTGGAACAGCCCTGGTGGCTGCTTGTCACACGTTTTGTCTGGTCCTCTAAGCCAATTCTTTGAAAAAAAAATTCTATCTTGCTGTCCTTCATAGAAAGAGGTCAAGATAGCATATATTTATTTCTCAAGGCCCCTTCTATTCTGAAGTTATCTGAGAGCAAGCAAAATGGCTGTAGTTGCTCAGGTGGACTCCTTGGTTTAAGTCTGGTTTAAGCTTGGTTTAAGTTTAAGTCCATCCACTCTCTTAGGCATATTTTAGGCTGGTGTCAATTTGATTTTTTTAGTTGTTCCAAACATGATGGGGAACAGCATAAAAGAGAAGTGTTTTCAAAAACCATACACATGAAAAAGCCAAGGATATTCTGGATAGTATAGATTTTGCATAGTTAAATTTGCATTAAATCTGGGTAGCATAAAAGTCAAAGGGCCATCCCATTGACTGCAGAAGGTAGATTAGAAGACAGCTGGATTAAGAACTTTAGAGTGAGTGTAAGTCACATTTGGACAACAGGGTGGCATGACAGAGAACTAATATATCCTGGAACCTGGGAAATATAGGGGACTTTTCTCTTCCTTATGCCTAGCTCACGTGGAAGCAGAACATTTTGCACATTCCTACTTTTATGTCAGAGACATACGTGTGCAGGGAAGAATGCTGAGCGTGCCCAGGGAGATTCTACACAATATGAGTTTGCACACAAGCCCCCCACTTCATCCTGTATCATGTGTATTTCACATTCCATTACGATAGCCATCTGCTTAAGCTCCTCAAAGGCATTCTGGTACTCACCAGATGAGCTGATCGTTGTAGAGGAAGGCTGTGTACTTGACTATGCTTAAGCTTTCTTCCATTTTATTGATGAACGACTGGATTTTCAAGTAAGTCATCTTATCTAATGGAAAGAAGCTGATTCCACAGAAGACATCCAGCAGATCGCAGGACTGTAAGTGGAGCGTTTGCAAGTACTGGAAAACAAATGGAAGAAAATATCTGAACTTAGACAACCTAGTTAATTTTGCTGCTGTGCCTCAACGCTCTAACTCCTCTGATCAACTTCATGTTGCCTGGGTTCACACATCACACTAAGCTACGGATTAACCATGGCTTGCTGAATAAGCAACGACTGGCTGAATGTACCTGGCAGATTAACCAAATCCAAACAAAATCACGGTGTGATGTATGAGAGAGAAAAGCACGATCAGCAACTCAAAGCATCCTTGTCTGAAGCAAAGTCTTCAAAAAGAAAGGAAAGGTCTACTGCACTGATAGAAAAGTGATGGCTGAATTGGAGTAACTATCATTTGAATTTTTTTAAAAAGTTACATGCTACATTAGTAATATTTCCTTCTTTAGCTTTAAAATTGCTACAGACAAAATTTTATGTTCAGCATCAAAGCAATTAGTTTAGAGATCACCCATAGTGCTCTCTGGTATGTTCTAAGATGTTCACAAATTGTGATCTCCAAGACTGTGCTGGGTTTTCTCATCATCTTAAGGGACAGCAAGCAAAATAATACCTAGGATATTCTCCCAATGGACTTTGAAGAAACAACAGAAAGGGTTTTGATGCTTTTGAATTTTGGTGTTGGAGACTCCTGACAATACGATGGACAGCCAAGAAAACAAACCGATGGATCATCAAATAAATAAACCCAGAGTTCTCATTGGAGGCACAAATGACCAAGCTCAAATTATCCCACTTTGGACACATTATGCAAAGACCCAGCTCTCTGGAAAATGCTCTAATGCTGAGAAAGGTGGAAGAAGAGAAGAAGAGGACAACCAACAGCAAGGTGGAGGGACTCAGTTACAGTGGTGCTGAGTGCACCGTTGGAAGACCTGAATGACCAGGTTAGGGATAGATCATCATGGGAAAAAACCTATCCATGTGGTGCTAAAAGTAGACACTGACTTGATGGCACTTAATCAGTTAATCAATGTTCTCCCAATAAACAGCTACAGGAGAAAGTAAGCACTAAGAGACCAAATTTTTAAAAATCTAGTGGATATTACCACTCTTCTTACTACAGAATTTGCCAAGGTTCTAAGTAACCCCACCCACCCACCCACCCA